GTAGAAAAATGACAATTACTCAATGACTTTACTGATGGTTTGGATTTCAGAAAACGTGCAAGGAAATTTTGACCTAAGAGAGTATACCAAGTCCAACCGGCAAAAGTTGATAGCTCGTTTGACTCGAACTTAAATATCGTGTTAAAGTTTTTTTTTTTTTTTTTTGAAAAGTACTTTGAAGTATAATCGTTTGTGTTTGCCTAATCAATTTGTAAATTATGTTTGTCGATCGCTTGACCGATGCTCCAATAGTACTTTTGGGATAAAGTTATTTTTTTCTTGAAAACATTTTCTGTCACTACTCAAAATTGCATATTTTTCTTTTGAAATTTATTTTAAGCACATAACTCTCTAAAATAAGCGTTTTTGGCTTCTCAGAAGTTTAGTCAAACTACAATGAAGGCCAAAAAAAAAATAAAAAAAAATCCATTTTCAAATGCTATCTAGTGTTTGGTACTACTACTATATATATATAAACTTAAGAGTGCTTGAGCATTCAACACACTAAAATTTTTAAACTTGGAACTTGTTATAACTTAATTTAACTTAAGTTAGAATGGAGAGTAGGCTATTTGATGCATCACGAACAGGAAGCGTTGATGTTCTGATGGAGCTATTAAGATCTGATCCTATTATCGTTCGCCGCGTTGGCTTAGTTGATGGTGATTCCCCCTTGCACCTTGCTTGTTTAGGTGGCCACTTCAATTTTGTGAAAGAGCTTCTCAAGTTGAGGAAAGAACTAGCAGGGGAGCTAAATCAGAATGGTTTCAGTTGCTTGCATATTGCTGCTGCCAATGGGGACTTACACATTGTCAAGGAGATTTTAAAAGTGGACATTGGTTTGTGCCTTGTGAAGGGTAGGGAGAGAAGGATTCCTCTTCACTGTGCTGTTATCAAAGGCAGAGTTGATGTCATGAAAGAGTTACTCTCTGCTTGTGTTGAATCTGTTGAAGTTGTGACTTCTCGAGGGGAAACTGTGCTCCACCTTGCTGTCAAGAGTGGTCAGTTTGAAGCGTTGGAAGTGTTGATCAAGCACATCAAGATGTTCAATAAGACGGAGGTCTTTAACAAACAGGATGAGCTAGGAAATAGTGTCTTGCATCTTGCAGCAGCAAGGAAACAGCACGAGGTACGTAGCTATTATATTAGCCAGTTGCTAGCATATTGCTTCAATTTTCTTGTCTACACGACTCGTTTATACTACTATACAATAGCAGAGTCGGGATTTTCACTAAGAAACCATAGATATTTCAGGTGGTGGATCTCTTGCTGAATGGGAGCTTACCAGCAAATTGGGCTGTTGGAGTGAATTCTTTGAACAAAATGGGATTCACAGCTCTTGATGTTTTGTTTCTTTTTCAAAGTGAAGCTGGCGATAGGGAAATTGAAGACATTCTTCGACGAGCAGGAGCCCTTAAGGCCACAGACATGGTAGGAATACCAATCAGATCATGTAATCAGATCTGTGCATCAAACAGACAACATGGGGAGGTAATGTCTTACATATGTCTCGAAAACATTCCCTCATCACTTGCAGGGCAAATTCTTTTTCATTCACTAAGTACACGAAAATCCTTTTTACTTGGACATACCTATGTCTGTTAGAGAAAACACACTTTTATTTACTTAATTACTATGTCTCAAACAGGTAATGCCTAGGCGAAAGACGAAGAGTGGGTGGTTAGTAGACTTCCTAAAGTACGACAAAGATAGAGATAGCATAGAATCCATAAGAGAAGTACTAGTTGTGATCATGATGCTCACGGCTATGCTCACATTTCAAGCTGCTCTTAATCCTCCAGGCAACTTACAACAACAGCAACAGCCCAATTACCAAATTGAAGCTGATCACCTGATTCACTATTCATCACACATATTCTTGTTTTTCAACTCGCTCGGGTTCTTCATCAGCCTCCACGTGTTCCACATTGTTACGAGGGAATTTCCCATGAGAGTTGAGCTGGTATTCTGCGTGTTTGCAATTGGGATAACTTACATCAGTTGCCTAATGATCAAGTTGCCAACATACTTTTGCTATTATCTTTGTGTAGGCATACCATTCATACTGGTCTTTTCTCTCAACATCTCACGTTCTGCAGATTATTTGCATCCACACAAAATTACATCAGCCAATCTTTCACTAGTTAACCAACCTTGAAGGATTATATATCTGAATTTGTTCTTAGCTCTGCATTTCTCTGTATTCCGGAGAGTTTTAGGATTTGACTATGTATCCGAGATATATATATATATATATATATGTGTGTGTAATGCAGAGGCGAATTTAGAATTTATTTATATTTAACGTACCCTTTAACACTATAGGTTCACCTCTGTACAAGGTTGTTTTCAGAGCAAACCAAAGTATGTTAAACATATAAAAACATTTCGCCTAATGTTATATGAACATTATGATAAAAGAGATTAGTATAATTTTAGATAGATAAATGCGCATACATTATTACGATTTGTGAATTTCAATTTATAAGTTAGTTTAGCAACTGTTTAATTTGATTTCTTAATGATATGCGTGCTATCTGTTTGTGTTCTTAACCAAATTTAATAAAATGACCAAGATCTTATATCTTCAAATCCAACGATAAATAGTAGAAAATTACGATTGATGGAAATAAGTCATTATTTAAATTAATTCATCAAAATAATATATTTCTTTGAAACTTTTCAAAACTAGAATAAATACATTCCATAGTAACATATTAGTCGTTGTTTTATTTAGGGAAAAAATTTAAATATGCCATTAAGCTTTGAGAAAAATGGCTCATCTATGCCATTTTCGTTTGAGAAAAAACTCATCCATGTCATTATTTATTAATTGAAAGGCCAAACACATATGCAAACCCTTAAACTTGTCTCGAAATATCATTTTGGCACTCCAACTCAACCTTGTTCCATTTTAACCCTCAACTCCAATTTTTATGTTCCATTTAAAAACACATACACAACTCCTATAACTTGCCCCCATTTTTTATTTTGACACCGTATCTTAGCATTGTTCTATTTTAACCCTTCAACTCTATTTTATATACTATTTAAACACAAAATACTAATTTTATGATTTCTTTATTTTTATTTATGTTCTTCATTGTCACTGTTACAGATGTACGGGGTCGAGTAGTTTCTTGGTCCTCAGCTGGTACTTCTGGATTCAAAGGTACGAGAAGAGGAACATTTCCACTATTTCATTTTAAAAATCAACATCATATCTTTAAATAAAATTAACGGATGAACATCATTTTTTAATTTTTTTAGAGTTTCTTTACATTATTATGTGAAAAAATAACCGACGAAAGTGTGTTATTTTTCTTTTTTAAAACAATTAATTAAATTAAATGACACCACATATTTTTTTTCTTCGTATCCAGTCTATTTGGATTTAACTCAAATACTAGCTTTATAATTTTTCATCAACTAAATACGAGTAAAAAAATCATGTTCATTGCTAATTATTAACACTACAAAAAAAACGCTAAAACTCGACACACTTTATTGGGTTGTCATTAATTTTTTTAAGAAAGAAAATTGACGCACTTTCGTAGGATATTTTTCACACGAAAATACAGAGAAACTCTCATAAAGAAATTGTTAATTTTTTTAAAAATAAAATAAAATAAAAAATCAATGATCATCCGTCAATTTTTTATTTTTTTTACAATAACTAACGGATGAACGTCGATTTTTAAAAATGCAAAATTGAAATTGAAGAGCATATATAGAAATAAAGAAATCATAAAATTAGTATTTTGTGTTTAAATGGTATATAAAAAAAGTTGAAGGGTTAATCTTTTATTATTTTTTTATTTTTTTAAAAGAAAAAAACATTTTTTTTTGTCTTTAACTCTTTTAGAGAAAGTGTGATGCACATACTCTGCCACATCACTTAAAAGTGCCTGAATGAAATATAAAAATTGGAGTTAAAGGATTAAAATGAAACAAGGTTGAGTTGGAGTGCCAAAATAAAATTTAGAGACAAGTTTAAAGATCTGGCCTAAGTCCTAACTGAAATAACATAAATGAACCAAACTTTTAACAAATGACATAGATAAGTTTTTTTCTCAAAGTTCGATGACATATTTGAGTCTTTTCCTTTTAAGAAATAATTTAATTAATGATGTGACCGCATTATAATTGACCACGCGTAATTTTTTTTTCAAAATCAGAACTATTTTCAATTAACAATCATAGCCTTTTCTAAAATGGAAATTACAAGGATGAGCCAAACTTATAACGAATGACATGAATGAACCTTTTTTTCAAAGTTCGATAACATATTTGAGCCTTTTCTCTTTTATTTATAAAAATCCAACCAACAAAACTGTCAATAAACAAATTTGATGACTATAAAATAAGTGATTTGTTGTCGTAAATAACGTTTTATATGACATTAAAAATAGGGACATCTTTTAGCAACCAAGTAATAATAGAGACATTTTTATTTAAAATATTGACTATCAAGAAGATATTTTAGATTAAACTATTAATTGAGGAGATTTTTATTCAATTTTATATATAGTAAGTATAGCCGAAAAACTTTAGTTTAAAGGCATTAACATGTTATTACGTAACTATAAAGAAAGAAAGAAAATTAGGAAGCAGGAAGAAAAGTGTTGTCGCCTCCGCCCACAAGAAACGCTCAAATGCCCATAAATTTTACTATCTTTTTAGGCCACACCACAAACGCCTCTGCCAGCTGACGCCTTGTTGGGCGGTGGGCGCCGAACGCAGCAAGCACTACTCGGTCAACATTATTACGCCCTCCGCGCACGTTAGCCACCCCACACACCCCTAACACCTTTAGCGGTGGCCTCTTCTCTCTCTCTCTAGATCTCCCCCCCTTTTAACCTAACATTCTTTCATTATGCCTCCGCTTTCCTCCGCCGCCACCCACCACCACCACAACCACAAGCCCTTTTCCTTCCTCTCTTTTTCCTTTATAAATCTGAACCGGTTAACTAATTCTGGGTGTTTACTGATTTTGAGAGATTTGATATTCTGTAATACCACCCACAACAATGGCGACTTTATCTCCATCAACTCAAGATTTCTCTACCACCCCATCACAGATTCTGTCCTCATCCAACGTTACAGTTGCGGTGGCTTCTCGCCGTCTTCCGCCGCCGTGTTGGTCACATGAGGAGACAGTAGCGCTCATTGATGCTTATAGGGATAAGTGGTATTCTCTACGGAAGGGGAATCTACGGGCTAATCATTGGCAGGAAGTTGCTGATGCTGTTGGTTCTAGTTGCCCTGTTGATCCCCCGAAGACCGCTGTGCAGAGCCGGCATAAGATGGAGAAGCTTCGGAAACGTTATCGTGCTGAAATCCAGCGTGCTGCTCCGTATGGTGGGGCTCGATCTCATCGTTATTGCTCTGCTTGGGTACATTTTAAGCGTATGGATATGATGGAGAGAGGTCCTAATGCTGTTTCTCCACCTCCCAGTGAGGATGAAGCTGATGAGGATGTAGAAGATTACCATCAAAATGGCGTTAAACTTGTTGGGGATTTGTATGGTAAAAATGTGAATATAGGTAATCGGAGTAGTTTCCAAGGGGTTGTGAGTAATGGAGGAGGTGGGTTTAGGATCCGGATACCTGGGATGCCCGGGTTAGCTCCTCCAATGGCGAAACCGTATAGTAGATTTGAGGAGGCTCGAGTTGAAACCCCTAGAAATTTTGGGTCTAGTCAGATGTTCAGGGATGGGTTCGTGAAGAAAGCTGATTTGGGGAAAAGGGTTGTTGGTGAAGGAGTGGGGGAGAAGAAAAAGGAGGACCCCATGGTGGATGCGATAAAGGTATTAGGTGATGGATTTGTCAGAATGGAGAGGATGAAGATGGACGCGGCAAGAGAGTTGGAAGTGATGAGAATGGAAATGGAGATGAAAAGAACTGAGATGATACTCGAGTCACAGCAAAGGATTGTGGAGGCGTTTGCTCAGGCGTTATCGGAGAAGAAATATGAGAAGGCCAAGAGAATGCCAACTCCTGAATGCTAGATTAATCTTAGGTGTGTGATGAAGTTTTCTTTTTTGGTGAATATTTTGCAGCATTGAATTGCAGAATGCATACTGGATTAGCTAATTTCCCATATATAGTGAGCTTGCAATATGCCTTACCGTTCCATCTTGGTATTTAATTGAGTAGCAGAAGAATGCTAAAATAGAAACTTATCAGTTCATTGATGTAGCATCTTTTTCTTATGAATTTGTGCTAGCAGGGTTCTGACATTGGAGTCATTGTTAGTAGTCTGTAGTGCCTGTTTAATTTGGTCAATGTCTATTATGATGTTGCTTACTGGAGTTTAAAATTGCAATACTCCATTGCTAGAAATACAATTGTACTTTGGAAATTACGTTCTGTTTTGGTCTCCTGCTAGCCATTTTTGGTGTGTGCCGACCACTTCAAAGATGGGAAAGGAACTGTTCCTTCGGTGACTTGATCTGTTAGCAATTTACTTGACCTGAAGCGGTAATTGAGGAAAAATTACACTTCGATTGACTCTGCCTTGCCACGAGAGTGATTCTGCTTGTTCTTTTACTAAATGTATGTCACTACGCAGCCATTACATATGTATTCTGTAACAAACAATACTAGTGTACTATCTATATGCCTTGGCTGAATTCAAAGATCATACTTTTAGAAATGGCACCAATGAACCATGTTCTATATTTAATTTGGTTACAAGATGCAAAGAGTTTGGGTCCCTAATTCATTTTGATATGATAATATTTGAATGGTATAATAACATTGTTAAATGCAGTGATTTGTGGGTCTGTTATAGAGAAGAGTTGCTTTTTCAGCTTCTTGTTGTTTTTAGGAAGTAGAAATTTGGGTCTCTTCAAATGTGAATTGCCTTGTGAACGTGTCATGGGTTGCAGTTCATTTTATAACCAAAGATCAAACATGCTCCCCTCTCCCTGCCTAATCCCCCTCCCCTCTTTAAAACTTTTCTAGGGGGCACAGACATGGTACGAGTTGAAATCAATTATTGAAGGTTAATGTGGAAGTCATGTAAGATTGTTTTCAAGTGTCTAGAAAAAGGTGTCTCTTGGAAAAAGTTGTTTTTTTGATTGTTAGTTTCTTGGAGAACCTTTCTGGGCAGTACAATAGGTATTGCCTGTAGGTTTGTTGGTTCTGTTTTGCTGTAGCGTGTAATTTGTTCAACGGTAATACTGCAAGTTAGTTTTGGTTTCCTTTGATTGTTAGACAGATAATGTCATTATTTAGCTGAAGACAATATTATACATGATAAATACCTCTGTTAGACACATCACAAGTACTTTTGTTCTGTCTTGCTGTCCTATCTTATGACTTGCCTTTTAGTAGAGAGTAGCCTGGAATTGATCTGGTCAATGGTTGGCGGGTCGGTTCCCTGCCTGAGTGGATCATTGGAGTAGCGGATCGCAAGTGTTCAGTGAGATGCGAACCTTATATGAAAGAGTATATTTCCCCAGGCAAGCAAAATTTTGAGCATGACTATGCCATAGGGACAGACTACTAGGCAGAATTCTACCATTGATGACTGACTTTATGTATTGTTTACACAGAAGCAGAATCGGACTAAAAGAGTGAAAGCTCCTTTTGCTTTTCAGAACAAATGTTGAATTGTGCATATTTTCAATTAATGCTGGATGGATGTGTTGAGATTCTAAATCAAAAACAGTTAATGAGATTTATTACAATCACTTTTACTTTTATCGCTTTAAAATGGTCTTATATGAAAGTAGGTTGACATGTTGTTTTCTTGACGCTACCATAGTATTTTACTATTAAACAAACTCTCAAATGAAGTCCAACCTGTGTCAAGTCTGAATTCAGGCACTGAGCATTACATCTGTATTCTGTAACAAACAATACTAGTGCAAATATTGTTAGTTTCTTGGCTGGGAAGCATAATATGCACTGCCCCTAGGTTTGAAGCACGATGCCGTTGGGCAGGGCCGACTCAACAAGATCGGGGGCCTAAAGCCAAACCCTAAAGAAAGACCTTAATATTTTGTTTCTTTAATCTCTTTAATAATTTTATTCTTAACTTCACTCTCCAATAAGTTTAATAGTTTATTTGTATATTATGTCCAAGGAAATGACTATAAATTTTGTCATGCTTATTCTTCAAATATGTTCTTGCATAGCTGGATCAAATTAATTAATCATTTCAATTAGGCTTAAAAAATTTCTGTTACTTTCTTGATAAATCTTTCCATTTATTCTCCTAAATGTTAGATTATTTTTTCAAAGAGTTTTTGATCACGTCAATAATTCTTGACAATACATTTTTCCACTGCACTTTATCTCTATCAATTTGTTCCTGCACAACTTTATCAATTGTTTTTTTAATGCAAACTCATTTCCAAATTAATACACGAGCTCATATTATTAATAATATGTTCATTCTTTACTTCATGGACTTTGAGCTTAACACTAAGATTTCTCCACTCATTACTACCTTCACTAGCTAGTTTACTATTACAAATAATAGAAGTTGTGCTAAATAATTTACAACAAAAACAAAAAAAATTATCCAGATTAATCATTTTCTTTCATGCTTTTCTCCGTTTACCAATTTTTGAATATAGCGTGTTGTAGAAAAATGCCGTACGTATTTATCTTGTGGAAAATTTATATCAGTCATTCTAAATGGTCTCTTTTCTACTACTAGATTTCTCAATTTTGTATCTACATTATTCCATTGACTTGGATCATGTATATTTTTAGGAATGCAACTATTTAAATTATTTAGGAGTTCTTGATATCGGAACAATGTCACATTTTCACGAACTTCTAGATTTTATTCTTGGATATTTTTATCATCTAACTCAATTCTATTGGTGACTTGTTCATTTGAAGAACATCCTCCAATATTTTTTGATTTGAAATATTTATTATTTGTTAAAAATCTATCAAGGGCTCTTTTTTAAGATTTATTTAATTCTTCAAGTTTTTTCTCTTTTTATAAAATCGGAATCATATTTTCTAGTTGACATATTAAAATTGAATAAATTTTAATAATAATTAAAAGAATTTACATATACTTAAGAATATCAACAATAACAATTTTTCAAGAAAATCTATTAAACCTCTTACACGTTTTTTTCTTCAAAAAATTAATATAATTTTTTTAATAATATGTATTTTTTTTTTTAAAAAAAAAGGCTCCAAAAAATATGAAACTTAACAATAACTTTAATGACCTAGTGGTTAAGGCGGCTCTGCCGTTGGGACAGGCAGAATTCTAGTGCGCCTTTGAAGACTTTAGATGACTTTATGTATGGTGAAAGTTCCATTTGCTTTGCCAAACAAATATTGTATTGTACATATTTTCAACTACCGGTGTATATATATCGGGTTGATTTATATTTTTCAATTATTAAATTAAAAATTATTAATGTTGAGTTCTTAAATTTATAAACTAAATCAAATCAAAATAAATTAATAAAATTTGTGTTCTTTAACCTCGAATTTTTTGAATTTATTGCTTTTTCAAGTTTTTTGATAACGTATTTATACAAACATATAAGTAATTAACTTGTGCTTCAAATATTTCTTTAGTCATACTAAAATACAACTATTTAAGGTATTTCTTAAGAAAATATAACTATATGAATGACGACACTAAAATATTCGACAAAACAATAATACGTAATGAAATCGCATAAAACAAATATTGCAAATAAATAAGTCATAGTGAAGTGATTATTATTTAAAGGTACTAAATCATGCTAAAATAAATCTTTAATTATATGTCTAAACATTAAAGAATAACTAAAATTAGATTATGTATTTTAATTGTCTAAATCAATGTAGGATTAAAGAACCAAATGTTCAACATTATTGTCATTCTTAGGGTTGAATTAATTTTGTATTAGCACTAGTATTGATTTGAGCTTTATTAGAGTTACTAATATCTATAACTTTTATTGTACCATTCAAAATTCTAAGTTAAACTTGAAATAATATTTTGAAAGATAAAAACTATATATGAAAAAGTATAAGAAATATTTATAAATTATATCAAAATACTATTATCTAAAATAAAATTTCAAAATTATATATATATATATATATAAGTGAGAGAGAGAGAGAGAGTATAATGAGGGAAAAAATACTGTTGTCAAACAGAAATATTATTTTGATTTCTTGAACTCTACATTTATTAAAATAAAAGGAGTTAATATCTTAAAAGATCATTGAACTATGAAAAATTATCTACCAAAGTCATTCAACTTTGATTTGTATCAATAAAATAACTCAACTTAAACCTTTTATCTTAAAAATTCACTCAGCTACATTCATCACTAAAATAAATTTTAGATAACAAATAACATATATATTTTTTTATGTCATGTAATTATGAACTCTATAAATAAAATAATAGAATATATGTATTATTATATCCGTCCCACCCACAAATTAGATTCTCAAAAGACTAATTTTTAATTAAGCATAAAATTGCAGAACGTTATTTGAAAATTACCAAAAGATCGACGCAACGCTGCATTTTCAACTTGACAGCATGCTTTAACATCATTATTTGGTAATGATTATTATATTAATATTTTGTAGAAATAATTTAGCAGAAAGTATTAATTTGAGTAAACAACGACTTGGTTTCTACCCAGAATTTAGACAAACTTAATTAGTAATTTAGTAGAAAGTACTAATCTGAGTAAAGAATGACTTGCTTTCTACTTGGAATTAGTTTTTAGACAAACTTAATTAGTGGTGGGTTAGGTATAGTAATATATAAAGTCTAAGTCTATAGTATACTACTATTATTTATTCGTTTGGTTTATGATTATATGATATAAAAAATATTCTATTTTGTGATTTTAAATTTATTTTAATACAGTAATAAATATTGTTGAGTGATATTTGAAGATAAAACCTTTAAATTAAGTGATTTTTGAAGATGAAAGTTTTAAATTGAATGATTTTATTGATACAAGTAAAGTTTAATGACTTTACTAAATATTTTCTCCTAATTTTACTCAAGTAAAAGCAGTAAAATATAATAATAAACTAGCCTAGAAATTAGAATATCTTTGGTTGTCTGCGAGTATCACATTTGAAAGCAGTATGAAAAAGGAAATACCGAAGAAAAGAAGAGGAAGCAAATAGTGTAGTACACACAAGATATGTAAGTCAACTAAGTCCACTCGCTTTTCTTTTCTTATATCCAGATTTTTTGAATTCAGAGGTGAAACATCTAAAAGATTTCATAATTCTTTGGTAGATCTAATGGACAAAAGGCTGTGGGAGGCTGCTCAAAAAGGAGATGTTCATCACTTGCAAAGCTTGATCAAAGAAGTTCCTTTTCTGCTCAGCACAGTTTCATTAGCAGGTAGTAATGAAACTCCTCTGCATATTGCTTGTTCGGGTGTCCATCTTGAGTTTGCTAAGGAGATCATTCATTTGAGGCCAGAATTTGCAAGAGAAGTAAACCAGGATGGTTTCAGCCCTTTGCATATTGCCTCAGCAAATGGAGATATAGAGATTGTGAAGGAGCTATTGAATGTTGACAGTAATCTATGCCTTGTCAAGGGGAAGGACAGAAGAATTCCCCCAAAGGCAGAGGACATGTCATGAAGGAGCTTCTTGTGGCTTCTCCAGACTCAGCAGAAGAATTGACTGCTCGTGGAGAGACTTGCCTTCATTTAGCTGTCAAGAATCATCAGTTTGAATCATTCAAGTTATTACTTGACAACCTCAAGTATGATCTTTTAAACAAGAAGGATATCCAAGGAAACACTGTTTTGCATCTTGCTGTGTCAACTAAGCAATACGAGGCAAGTATCTTTTCATTAAATATATATGCCTCATCTTTTGATCTTGATTTTTAACTTTCAATGATATATTCATTCAGGTTGTTGATATGTTGCTGGATGAGAATGTTGTATCTAAGGGCACAATTGAGGTGAATTCTTTGAACAAGAAAGGCCTTACACCTTTGGAGGTACTATTAGAGGAATGTGGAGATAGAGATATTGAGGAAATTCTAAGAGCATCTGGTGCTTTATCTGCTGAAAACTTGCAAGTTTTGGTTGTTCCAGTTCAAGATCAACAATCCAGCAGAGAACAAACAAGGGACGATGGGCCTCGATCTAATGTTAAGAAGCTTCATGATTTCTTCAAGTACAATAAAACCAGAGATTGTCCAGGAAAAGTAAGAGACACTATTCTTGTGATAACCATTCTAATTGCAACAGCAACTTATCAAGCAGGTTTCAATCCACCAGGAGGCGTATGGCAGGACACTTACTGGCCTGACGACAATAACAACAGTACCAGTTATGATGGCATAGTAGTAGTGCCCCTGCGGCATTTCGCAGGACAGTCAGTGATGGCTACCAGCAATCCTGTTGGCAATGGCTTGTTCTTGCTTTTCAACTCCCTCGGATTTTTTGTATCCCTCAACGGGATAAATTTCCTTACAGACGGATTTCCTTTGCAATTAGAACTGCAAGTCTCACTTTTTGCCTTAGGGATAACCTATGATACTGTGATACTTTCCATACTACCTTACCGGGAACTTCGTTTCTTTTTTCTTATCCTTAACACAGTCTTTTTAGGACTGTTTCCCGTCATTTCAATGATGTTGATAAACAGTTGCAGGAAACCTAGAATCATTTTAATTATTTTGTATCTTTTCATCATTTTATGTTTTACATTTGCACTAGTAAATTTATTTAATTAAATTAGCTTACAAATTATTAGAGAGAGTTGTTTGTTACTAAATAAATCCAATACAAATATGAAATGTGAGTTATTTAACATTTACTAATTAAAAGGCAAATATATCACTACATGACGTTTGTGATCTTAATTAAATGTATTATATATATATATATATATTTGTGTGGTTTTCTAATTATTTGTATTTTGAAATTTTTTAAAAATTACATACATATTTAAACTATAACTTGCAATTTTTATGTGTAAATGTAAATGGTTTATTCAATTTTTCCATTTGTTGACCCTCTTTTTGATTTTAAAAGTAGATTGTTTATCTTTTTAAAATTGAAAATTGACATTTTGTGAGTGAACAATTTATTAAGATGACAATTATATCCTCAAATAATTCAAGTGAAAAAATAGCAAATATGACAACAAAATTGTTCTTCTCATAGCTAGTTAGAAGGCCATAAAAAATAAATATTGTTCGGTAATTATCTACCTTAACCCAATTACATAATAATTCAAAAAGGTATAATTGGAAAGAAGATTTTTAAAGAGTTTCAATCCAAACATAAGATGAGGTGGGAAACAATGAACCCAACACTTGATAAAAATAAACTCTGCATTACTAATCCCTGCACAACTAGTTCCTGCATTATTAATCCCTGCATTACTAATCCTTGTGTTATTAAGTTTTGTACCAAACGACCCCTTATAGTATATGATAATCGGGCTCCTCATAAGTCCTTAGACATTTTATTATAATATTTGACTTGTAAATGTTAAGTATTTATAGGATATATGTTGCACTAGAAAGTATAAATGATGGTGGATATAGGAACAATTTTTACCAATTAGTGTTAAACAGATAATTGTTAGAGTAGGAGTGTTTGTTTGAAAATTAAAATAGTTATCTAAATCGATCATTGATAATGAACTTAATACTTTTAGATCTCTTTATTATTAATTAAAGATGCAATATACTAGTTCATGAGATGATTATATAAATGCATGTATAGTCATTCAACATATCTGCCAAATATTTCATATTATCCATGTAAAACACAAATGATCTGGCATATAATAAAATATCTAATCTTTCATTGAGATAATTTTTAATTTCATTTGGAAATAAGAAATATAATATTGTACATGTTCCACGCCAATAATTATATAAAGTCTAAATATGTAATATCTATTTAATTGTAATCTAGACACAAATTTCTTTATATAAGCAGAGAACATTTTTAACTAAAAAAGAATAAGAAAAGAATACATTATAAAAGAACATTTAAAACTAATACAAAAATCACTTACAAATGATCATCATTATAAGCACTTTACATAAAATAGTACAAATAATTCATTATTTTGTTGTAATTCATACAACATGATTAAAGAAAGTATTATTTCCTTCCAAACATTCTTTACAATCAATCAATCAATCATAACGTCTTCGATCCAAATACAACAATAATGTTATTGCCCTTAACAGTTCTACAAAGATTGATGACAACTTTTCTTCTGCGGTCTATGACTATGACTAGAAAGAAAATCAAAAAAGAAGAAAGAAATGATATACCAAAGATGAAAAAATGGATCTTAATTTATAAAGAGAATTGACATTAACATACTTTAGTAAGAAGATCAGATATGAGATTTGTAAATTCATTTCCCTTTCTAGGTGACTTTAAATAGGAAAACCTTAGGTGAGGGGAGATGAAAGGAAAAACAATAAAAGAGGCACATCAATTTCCTACTTAATTATGTAACCTTTGGTCTTCACATGTAATTCATTGAACAATATAATTAGGAATCTTTTTGTCTTCTTGATAATAATTACTTATAACAATTTAATATTAATTCACCATACAACATGAATAAATTGTAACAGAAAGAATTTGATATTGGCTTAATGTGTAACTCTCCATTGTAGTAACTAAAATTTACTATTTAATATTTAATTAACAATTTATTAGATGATTAATAGTATTTGTATTTGATATAGCGACAAAATGGTAATCTAACTTTTGCCTAACATTCTTCCCACTTTTAGTATAATATGATGATATGATTATCATTAACTTTGAATTTGCTAACCACCTTAATATTAGGATTACCTCAATTCAAGTATTGACTGCAGTTGCCAATAGACCCGTCCAAAGGTGTAGCATAGTGATCAATAAAGTGAGGGAAAGTCAAGGGAGACCAAAACTCTAGAGAGTCAAAAAATGTTAAGTGGTTTCTTCCCATTTCTAAGTCTGTGTGGACGAAGTTACTCAGTACCTATGATCAATTTTACTATCAAATGCCATTAATATGCTTTCCTGACAATTCAACTTAATCCTCAATTTTATTTCAATGAATTGACATACTAGCTTTATTAAACATAACCTTTATAATTCATAATCACTATTTGAACAAGATAAGAGCAAATTATTTATATACATGTCATGTTCTGAATTAATTGATCCATTCAACAAAGGTTCAGATGATTTTAGCACAACAATTAACATTACATTGACTTTGAATTGCTTACATATCTAAATACACTATTAAGAAATACATAAATCTCCAAATGTCTAATTAAATAAACTACAACTCAATTAGGTATGATTTTAGCACAACAATTATATACATTTTATTGACTTTTTCACCATAATTTGCTTGACATATTGAACTTAAAATATCGAAAGAGAGTGACTTATTGATAACTAACATTTGTCTTACTATTTAATAAACATGAGATTTGCTAATTCAAGAAGAAAACTCTCATCCTAAACAAGTCAAACTGAACTCCTTTCTAAAAGAGTTGAATTTGAGATTTTCAGAGCTGAGATATTCCTATCTGCTGAGCACAACTTGATGAAAGAAACTAAAATAAAAAAATTGCATAATTCGTTGGTAGAATCGATGGACAGAAGGCTGAGGGAGGCTGCTCAGAAAGGAGATGTTCATTACTTGCAAAGCTTGATCAAAGAAGTCCCTTTTCTGCTCAGCACAGTTTCATTAGCAGGTAGTAATGAAACTCCTCTGCATATTGCTTGTTTGAGTCTCCATCTTGAGTTTGCTAAGGAGATCATTCATCTGAGGCCCGAATTTGCAAGAGAAGTAAACCAGGATGGTTTCAGCCCTTTGCATATTGCCTCAGCAAATGGAGATATAGAGATTGTGAAGGAGCTATTGAAGGTTGACCGTAATCTATGCCTTCTCAAAGGGAAGGACAGAAGAATTCCCCTTCACTACGCAGTAATCAAAGGCAGAAAACATGTTATAAAGGAGCTTCTTGTGGCTTCTCCAAACTCTGCAGCAGAAGTGACTGCTCGTGGCGAGACTTGTCTTCATTTAGCTGTCAAGAATCATCAGTTTGAAGCTTTCAAATTATTACTTGAGAATCTCAAGGAATTTAACAAGTATGGTCTTTTAAACAACAAGGATATTCAAGGAAACACTGTTTTGCATCTTGCTATGTCAACTAAGCAATTCGAGGTAAGTATCTTCATTACTATGCCTCTTTTATCTCATCATATCAACTTTTAAATTTCAATAACAGATAAGAGAAATGATCATCCAGGTTGTTGATCTATTACTTGACGAAAATTTTGTTGCTAAAGGCACTATTGACGTGAATTCTTTGAACAAAGGAGGCCTTACACCTTTGGAAGTACTACTTAAGGAATCTGGAGATAGAGATATTGAGGAAATTCTAAGAACATCTGGTGCTGTATCTGCTGAACACTTGCAAACTTCGCAACAAGAAGGTTTGCCACAATCTTGGGTTGTTCCAGTTCAAGATCCATCAAATGAACAATCCAGCAGAGAACCAACAAGGGACGATGGGCCTCGATCTAATTCTAAGAAGCTTCAGGATTTCTTCAAGTACAATAAAACCAAAGATTGTCCAGGAAAAGTAAGAGACACCCTTCTTGTTATAGCTATTCTAAGTTTTTATGAGTTATCTTTGATAAGTTAAGTCTTCCGCTGAGTAAATAAGCCAGGCCAAGGGTTCTCTTGGGGCCAGCAATGATTCTCGAGTGCCAGTCCCGCCCAGGGTGTAGGCTCGGGGCGTGACACTATGTTCATTTAACCTTTAATTATTTGAAGTGTGCACTTTTGGTCCTGAAAGTTAACAAAAATCAACTGTTTAACAAAAATAGTTATTTGAAAATATATAAAATAAAAGAGTTGGTGATTTTAAATGCTTGAAGAACAAACAAGGGACGATGGGCGTCGATCTAATGTTAAGAAGCTTCAGGATTTCTTCAAGTACAATAAAACCAAAGATTGTCCAGGAAATGTAAGAGACACCCTTCTTGTGATAGCCATTCTAATTGCAACAGCAACTTATCAAGCAGGTTTCAATCCACCAGGAGGCTTATGGCAGGACACTTACTTGCCTGACGACAATAACAACAGTACTAGTTATGATGGCATATTAGTAGTGCCCCTGCGGCATTTCGCAGGACAGTCAGTGATGGCTACCAGGGGTCCAATGCTCTATGGCTTGTTCTTGGTTTTCAACTCCCTCGGATTTTTCGTATCCCTCCACGCCATAAATTTCCTTACAATAGGATTTCCTTTGCAGTCAGAACTGCAAGTCTCACTTTTTGGCTTGGCGGTAACCTATATTATTGTGATGGTGTGCATAATACCTTACTGGGATATTTTTTACTTGTTTGTTATCGTTATCGTAGTCTTTTCAGTACTGCTTCCTTTGATTATAGTGACGTTGAGAAACTATCACAAGAAACCTAGATTCCTATCCTGATTTATAAACTGGACATCTTCCTGTATTTTCTTCTTCTTTTGAGGTTCAATCAGCATGTATTGAAATTCTAAATAAAAAATTACTTGTCAGTTGTGAGATTTATTACATTCACTTTTACTTACCACTTTTAAATGGTCTTATATGAAAATAGGTTGTTGTATTGTTTTCTTGACGCTTCCATAGTATTTTACTTTTAAACAAACTCTCAAATTTTGAACTACCTCTGAATTCAGGCACTCAATATTATTCTATACTAGCTTTTTGGTACGCGCGTGTAGCCAAGTGTACTCATTATTATAAACTTATAGTATATGATAATCGGGCTCCTCATAAGTCCTTAGACATTTTGTTATAACATTTGACTTGTAAATGTTAAGTATTTATAGGATATATGTTGCACTAGAAAGTACAAATGATGGTGAATATAGGAACAATTTTTACCAATTAGTGTTACACAAGTAATTGTTAGAGTAAGAGTGTTTGTTTGAAAATTAAAATAGTTATCTAATTTTATATGGATCATTGATAATGAACTTAATACTTTTAGATCTCTTTATTATTAATTAAAGATGCAATATACTAGTTCATTAGATAATTATGAACTAATTATAAATGCATGTATAATCATTCAACATATCTGCCAAATATCCATGTAAAACACAAATGATATGACATATAATAAAATATCTAATCTTGCATTGAGATAATTTTTAATTTCATTTGGAAATAAGAAATATAATATTGTACATGTTCCATGCCAATAATTATATAAAGTCTAAATAAGTAATACCTATTTAATTGTAATCTAGACACAAATTTCTTTATATAAGTAGAGAACATATTTAACTAAAAAGAAATAAGAAAAGAATACATTATAAAAGAACATTTAAAAACTAATACAAAAATCACTTACAAATGGTAATCATTATAAGCATTTTACATAAAATAGTAGAGAAAAAACATAAAATGACACATAAAGTTGTCTCAAATTTTCAAAAAGACACCTTAACTATGCGAGTATCCTATTACCCTACAAAAGTATTAAATACCTCTATAAACAAAGCATTTTGAACCATTTTCTCATCTATGAATAAGTGCGTGATTCTCACCCCTTTTAATTAAGTAATTTAATTTAAAAAGCAGATTAACGTGATCTGTACCGTTTCAAAAACAAAAATTCTTGGTAATACTTAAAAATAGAAAAACCCACAAAATTCTCCTTCAAAGTTCTAAATTTTAATCAACAACCCACAAAAATCTAACTCAAATTCCTTGACCCACAAAATTCTAACTCAAATTCATCAACCCACTTCACAATTTTACTCCTTAGATCGATTAAATTGACTCAGAAATCTCTAGCTATTGCTCCTGCAATATACAACAATGGCTGCTCTTTCCCTTTCTCCCTCCTTGGGAACAACTTTTCATTGTCACCATAGCTACCCAACTGATTCTTCTTCTCCCATTACTGCTTCTCCAACTTTGTAATCAAATGACTTCTAATTAATTTTTTGGATTGAAAATTGTTAAAGAATGACAATAGTCCACATCGGTGATTAATGAGATGGGTGGATTCCTTATAAGGCTTGGGCAATCCTCCTTCCTTTGAGCTAGCTTTTGGGGTGTGAGTTAGGCTCAAGACCTAATTTAACATGGTATCAGAGCAGGACCCGTCTCACCCGATATTGGGACCCCCAAAATCAAAATTGCCCACGCACTAGATGCTAAGCACTGGGCGTGAGGTGGGGTGTTAAAGAATGACAAAAGTCCCACATCAGTGATTAATGAGATGGGTGGACTCCTTATAAGGCTTGGACAATCCTCCTCCCTTTGAGCTAACTTTTGGGGTGTGAGTTAGGCCTAAGACCTAATTTAACATAAATCGAATTCTTATCTTTTTGAGCCGATTTCATCAGAGAGAGAGTGTGTGTGTGTTGGTTTTTTCTGTTAAAACCTTCAATCAAAGGCTCTCTTGAAATTTTGGGGAAGATGGTGCATTTAAAAATGAATGAATTAATTATTGGACAAAATAACAAGAATGTGAATTGCCTTGTGAACGTGTCATGTGTTGTAGTTCATTAATGGGCAAAATACTGTGATGTTTTCCATAATGCCTAACTGGGAATTTTTTTTCTTGTTTCTTATCCTTATCGTAGTCATATCAGCATTGTTTCCTGTCATTTCAGTGATGTTGAGAAACTATTGCAAGAAACCTAGATTCTTGTCATGTTTATAAACTAGACAGCTACTTGAACAGCATCTTCCTGTATTTTGTTCTTCTTTTGAGGTTCAATCAGCAAGTGTTGAGATTCTAAATAAAAAATTACTTATGAAATTTATTAAAATCACTTTTACTTGATCGCTTTTAAATGGTCTTATATGAAATAGGTTGACTTGTTGTTTTCTTGACGCTTCCATAGTATTTTACTACTTATTAAACAAACTTTCAAATGTAGACCAACCTGTGTCAAGTCTGAATTCAGGCACTGAACATTATTTTATATTATCATTAACTTTGAATTTGCTAACCACCTTGAATATTAGGATTACCTCTATTCAAATATTGGCTGCAGTTGTCAATTGTTTCTTAGAGATTCGTCCAAAGGTATACTGTAGTGATCAATGAAGTGGGGGAAAGTCACGGGAGACCAAAACTCCTATCAGAGTCAGAAAAGGCCAAGAAAAAGAGCAAGTCATTATATACATGACATGTTCTGTTCGAGTCTGGCAAAATTCTTAATTCAAGAAAAAAGTTCTTAAAAAGTTTAAAATCAAAGCGAACTGAATTAATTGATCCGTTCAGAAAAGGATCAGATTATTTTTGCAGAACAATTATATACCTTACATTGACTTTGAATTGCTTACATATCTAAATACACAATTAAGAAATACATAAGTCTCCAAATGTTTAATTAAATAAACTACAACTAAGTTATGTATGATTTTAGCACAACAATTATATATATTTCATTGACTTTTTCACCAGATGATAACTAGCATTTGTCTTACAATTCAATAAACCTGAGATTGCAAAATTATTAATTCAAGAAGAAAACTCTCATCATAAACAAGTCAAACTGAACTCTTTTCTATAAGTGTTGAATTTGAGATTTTCAGAGCTGAGATATTCCTTTCTGCTGAGCACAACTTGATGAAAGAAACTATAATCCAAACGATAAAAACCGATTTTTTTTTTGCATAATTCGTTGGTAGAATCGATGGACAGAAGGCTGAGGGAGGCTGCTCAGAAAGGAGATGTTCATTACTTGCAAAGCTTGATCAAAGAAGTCCCTTTTCTGCTCAGCACAGTTTCATTAGCAGGTAGTAATGAAACTCCTCTGCATATTGCTTGTTTGAGTCTCCATCTTGAGTTTGCTAAGGAGATCATTCATCTGAGGCCCGAATTTGCAAGAGAAGTAAACCAGGATGGTTTCAGCCCTTTGCATATTGCCTCAGCAAATGGAGATATAGAGATTGTGAAGGAGCTATTGAAGGTTGACCGTAATCTATGCCTTCTCAAAGGGAAGGACAGAAGAATTCCCCTTCACTACGCAGTAATCAAAGGCAGAAAACATGTTATAAAGGAGCTTCTTGTGGCTTCTCCAAACTCTGCAGCAGAAGTGACTGCTCGTGGCGAGACTTGTCTTCATTTAGCTGTCAAGAATCATCAGTTTGAAGCTTTCAAATTATTACTTGAGAATCTCAAGGAATTTAACAAGTATGGTCTTTTAAACAACAAGGATATTCAAGGAAACACTGTTTTGCATCTTGCTATGTCAACTAAGCAATTCGAGGTAAGTATCTTCATTACTATGCCTCTTTTATCTCATCATATCAACTTTTAAATTTCAATAACAGATAAGAGAAATGATCATCCAGGTTGTTGATCTATTACTTGACGAAAATTTTGTTGCTAAAGGCACTATTGACGTGAATTCTTTGAACAAAGGAGGCCTTACACCTTTGGAAGTACTACTTAAGGAATCTGGAGATAGAGATATTGAGGAAATTCTAAGAACATCTGGTGCTGTATCTGCTGAACACTTGCAAACTTCGCAACAAGAAGGTTTGCCACAATCTTGGGTTGTTCCAGTTCAAGATCCATCAAATGAACAATCCAGCAGAGAACCAACAAGGGACGATGGGCCTCGATCTAATTCTAAGAAGCTTCAGGATTTCTTCAAGTACAATAAAACCAAAGATTGTCCAGGAAAAGTAAGAGACACTCTTCTTGTGATAGCTATTTTAATTGCAACAGCAACTTATCAAACAGTACTTAGTCCACCAGGAGGTGTTTGGCAGGACACTTACTGGCCTGATCACAATAACAGCAGCAGTAGTGATGGCATAATGTCCTTGCGACGAATTGCAGGACAATCAGTGATGGGAACCAACAATCCAATTTCCTATGGCTTGTTCTTGGTTTTCAACTCTATCGGATTTTTCGTGTCCCTTCACACTATAAATTTCCTGACCATAGGATTTCCTTTGCAATTGGAACTGCAGATCTCACTTGTTGCCTTGATAGCAACCTATGATACTGTGATGTCTGCCATAACGCCTAACCGGGGAATATCTCTCTTATTTACTATCTTTTCCACAGTCTTTCCAGTTTTCTTGCCTCACATTACAAAGTTGTTGAGAAACCATTGCAAGAAACCTAAATTTATTATCAAGATTTGTGAACTGTTTAGATAGTTGAACAACATCTTCCTATAAATAGTTTAGAGCTCGTGTCCTAGTACTTTAGGGCTCGAGTGGAGCTTGTTCATTGACTAATGCCTTACCTTTGTAACATATAAATAGTTTACCCTTCTTACTTGTAATTCATTCTGATTTCTCAAGGAATACAACACTGTTACAGTGAGGCTATTGATCATATTAATTACTTGCTTTCTGGTTAGTTATATCCTCTTTATATTTTAAATCAAAATCAAATATTGAAGAAGTGTATGACTTAGCTTAATTAGTGATACATTTTTTACTTTTGACTAGGGGTG